GAGAGCCAAGAGAGGGAAACGTATGGAATGTATAATTCAGTAATGTTGTTAATTATTAATGTAAAAGCAAACAAGGTTCTAATTCTTTCTCTTCTGTTGTGTGAGTGAAAATGTAGTTTTTGCCTCCTAAACACAAAACAGTTTCAAAATTGTATATAGCTTACTACTTAATTTTCTCTTTTCGTTTGACATCTATTGATTTCGACTGCAATCATCTCCACCAATTGTGTATTTAACTCGTGTTTTCTGTTTTTAGGAAAATACAATCTCATTTAACCTCGAGCAAGTCAGGAAACCATCTTGTACAAGAAAGACTGGATAAAACAAGAGCAACAAATTTCTTAAATATCATCTTAACAACATTGGAACCTGATTTGATATGAAAGAGTTATTGTCCGCGGAATATACAGACAAAAGCAGAGACGCCACGCTGATTGCCAGGGTGAAAGCAGTGGAAAGAAGAAACAATATGAAAGAATAAGCTAAGAAATTAAAAAAAAAAAATAGTTTTCTTTTCTTCGGAAAAGCACCAAATAATATTGGATTGCGCACCAAAATATCATGGTAACTACGGAAATGACACAATGCTTCACAGAACCTTTGGCTCCATGGTTTATCACTCATTCTAGACAACAATTCGATCTGACATAGAAACGTTGAGTGCCTCTCAGGCAGGGCATACTGGAAAAACTGAAGAAACAAAATTTGCAGCCATGCTCCAGGGAGAAAAAAGGCCTGAAAGTTAAAAAGCTTTTCTAATTTCAACATCAATAGCCAAATATCCAGCTATTAAAATTGGGAATTTAGACCCACTCGTAAACACTCACAACCTTCTGCGTCCAGATCCTTCAACTGATCTGCTAACATGTATATGCACAGCCCATGGCCTAAAATGGGAAAAAAGGAAGACTGTAAATCAGAAGATACTTTCTATACAACTGAATTTAAGATGCAGGCAACTGACAACTGCTTTTCATTTACAGGTTCTTCCTCCGCACATTTCTGCCATGAAGACTAAGAGGATAACCCTTGGGGATGAGGGGCAGTGTTGGTGAGGTAACTTGGCTGGTATATGAAAATTTTGAGATTCTCTTCCTTGGATATGGATGAATGGCAGCCAGTTCATGGATACGGTGTATTACATGCTTCGGAAGAGGGCACACAGCATGCTTCACTTTCTCCTCCACCTGAAAAATCCATTTGAACTTCATATTAGTATGGGAAACAGTATTTTGCTAAACAGTTAAGGCACAGAAACAGAGAACAATCTCACCCAAAATCTGATAGCCACATAAGATCTATTTGCTAGGATGTACCATGAACCATCCATGGATATAAAACACACTTCATGCACATGCATATAATCGACAAACAAGCTCAACGAGTTGACAATTTTAAGTACCTTGATTGGGTTTTGACATTGATCTAACAATCAGAAATA